GCCCTGTAGAAGCTGGCAGAATGGAGGAGGCCCAAGTCCATCCTGGATCCAGAAATCAAAGTTCTTGGATTCTACATTTTCATGATGCATTGTTACCGTGTTTTTTTCTCAAAGTCAGTGACTATAGGGAGCTTTGCTTGATTGATATTTTATCGTCGACGATGATCGATGATCAAAACTTCAAGACTGTGCGTGCACCTAGCCATACCTTGACCTTCAGCGGCCGAGAAGGACTGTACGTGAAACAGGTGTTGGGCATCCAACAGTCACGAGACGGTAGAACATCCACCAAACACGATAATCCAAATTCACAAACAAACTGAAGCTGCATCAATCGCTTTTCGCCGCAGCACAGAACGTGCGCTTGGCGGATTGGCTTGCTTGCCGCGGGGCTCTTGGCACCTAAGAAAAAAAATTGAACAGTCTGGGCATTGCCGAGAGCAAAACTCAGGTGCACCAATATATGATTGAACAAACCATCCATGCAAAAAAGATATGTTAGAAATCATGTCGGCAATCCCATGGGCCTCGACGAAGACACCACACGAAAAATACGGATGTGTCTTCACCTCACACTTCAGGAAAAAGTTCGGACCTGCGCATGTTGGCCTCGGTCTCGGAACGAGTCTGACCATCAGATGGCCACGCCTGAAGGCCCACACAGTGACATACAGTGATCCATCATTCCCTCGGGCGTCTTCACACTGAAGGGGATTGACCCTCCAAGTGCGGTCGGCGTGGCACTGAGTGCAGCCGTAGTGCAACCTACTTGTAGCTGACATCTGAGGATGAAATTCGGTCCATGTGGCCGTGGCGGACCACTGCAGTCACCGGGTACAACACACAAATTTGGATGGATCACCCAGCAAAGGTTATCCCTAACGCCGGGTGTCCAAAGACCACCCGAAAGTGTCGAAAGTGTCGCCTTCCGAAGCGAAACAAATATATATCAACACACAAGTGCGGGTCAATGAGCAATCAAGAAAAAACCGTCGGCAATATCTCACGAATTGTTTTACTGTCAGTGTGCTTTCTTGGAACAGCTGGCAGTTGTAGCATGCGAATCAGGGTCCCGAAAATGATCAAAGGACCACTGGGCTTATATGCAACCAAGCACCCCAGTGCATGGCCCTTGGAAATATACACTAGTCATCACTAGTCTATGTAATCCTCAAATGCACGGGTGGATGAAACTAGCGCTGTTCACCAGGGTTTAACCGCCGCTGTTGCCGAGAGACCCACAGGGGCACACATCTATCCTTTCACCTCGATGGGTTTGGGTTGTGAAAAAGGCTCCTTCTTAAGCTGCGGTTCATGCTTCAGGCAAACCCTGATGATTTCTTTGCCGTCGATCATCTTTGACTGGTTCTTTCAAGTCTGCGTTCTTCGACATACTATGGGCTGGACTTCAACTTGTGGGCTGGACAGTCTCAAATTGCAACGTCGAAACTCACCCGTTGGTGTCGAAACTCACCCGTTTGAAACCTTTGAGGTGTCTGCTTCAGGGTTGTTTCCCTACGACAACATAACATGGGCTTGCTTACCTTGCTCTGCAAGCGGACCGCGGACCTGTAGGTCTTTTGTCCAACGACGGCGGTTTGCGGCTGTTCATCTGACCAGGCTTCCTTTGCCCTATAGTTATATTAGTGCGGTTCTAGCAGTTCTCTATGCTTTATTGGTTGCCCTGCTTTCAGTTGTCTTTGAGTGGTTTTCCGGGTGCATCAAACAATTGCGTAACATGTTCCTCTATTATCCAGACTGGTTTTGGGCCAGTTGTATTGCTGTCGGACATTCAAATCAAGGAATGTAGAGCTGAACATCTGTGGACAGCAGGGGTTGGTTTGTTTGACTGATTCGAGCATGTTCTCAGAGGACATTGCAACATTGGCTGAAGTGCAAATCACCGTACAGGACCGTATCCATGTCGGTCAAGCAACTGCGCACAATCCTGGGGCTTTGAACTTCAAACACGTTTCCATGAGGGAGTCAGCACTCGGTGTGGGTTGTGAGATACCCAAATGTTGTCAGCCTCACCATGCCTAGAAAATCTCAGACCATGGCCCGCACCTGTTTTTTGACCAGGACAGGCAGTTTCGAGTGCCGATGCGTCCTGGACCCTGGCTACGAGATCTGTCTTTTTCTGTCCGCCGTTCATGAGAAATCTTGTATATATATATATATAGGTTCTAGTTCTAGCATGGTCATCGTGGAGTAAGTATTGAATGAACACAACAAAGCCAATTGCCAAAAAACACTTCATACATAGTTATTAACAAAATGTTATACTTATACACTGCAATATATATATATATATTATACATATACTTAATATTAAATAGTAATTAGTTATAACTATATATATTTATATTATGCTGTTGTCCTTGTTTTCGCACACTGCCCACTCCAGGTTTGTGCAAACAAAACAGTTTCCTCAGTCCTCTTTGGTTCTTCCCCGTTCTTTACGTCTGACGTCCTGTGTATCAACCCGCGTTCAGAAAACAGACCGACGCCCGAGTGAAGGAATGCCCGAAAGAATTCCCAGCAAAAGGATGCTTTAAGCCTTGCTCCCACAAGCAGGACATGTCCAAGCACAGACCGTGTTGCTATTGTTTTGTAGAATATCCATCATGTCCATAGTCTAAGTCCCAATTGAGGCATCCAAATCATAGTCTGGCATGGTTGATCTGTGACACCATGCTGAGACACTTTTTGTTCCGTGTTTACCTCTCATGAATCCCGGCACCCTGCACAGCACAGGCCGAAGACCTTCTGCGGACAGAAATGACCTTCTGAGGCCGAAGAAATGGGCGACACCCCCCACTGAGCTCTTGGAACTTGGAACATGTTTCTCTTTCACGTCACCAACCACCAAGAGCTTTTTCATGGAGAGTGTTGAACTCCTGATGCGGGTCACGATGATTTCTCGTGGTTCATGAAACCTGCGGCGAGTCGGCGAGTCCTTCTGACCGAATGGCCCGTGGTGTGTTGGGTCACAAGTGTGGCCGCAACGGAATCAACGGAGGGTTGACCAACACGTAGAAAACTGCTTCTAAATGACCTACCAAGTCATGCCTAAAATTGCGGCTCAAGTGCAGAACACTAATCCAATGCCAATCCACCTACTTAAAATACGGTATAGATTGGTATAGGAACTGATCCAAAAATTCAATTAGTCACTGGGCCTGGTCACCAATTGGTTCTTAGTTTCCCACCTCCGAACTGGGTGTCATGGACCGAACTTGTCATGACAGGAGCCCCCAACGTAACATCCTTGTTCCTAGTAGCGATGCCAGGAGCCCCCGTTCGTAGCTTGTTGCTCCTAGTAGTAAGGCCAGGAGCCCCTAGTAGCGTCCTTGCTCCTAGTAGCGATGCCCGGAGCCCCGTTCGTAGCTTCTTGCTCCTAGTAGTAAGGCCAGGAGCCCCATAGTAGCATATAGTAGCGTCCTTTCTCCTAGTAGCGATACCAGGAGCCCCTTCATAGCTTCTTGCTCATAGTAGTAAGGCCAGGAGCCACATAGTAGCGTCCTTGCTCCTAGTAGCGATGCCAGGAGCCCCCGTTCGTAGCTTCTTGCTCCTAGCAGTAAGGCCAGGATCCCCTAGTAGCGTCCTTGTTCCTAGTAGCGATGCCAGGAGCCCCGTTCGTAGCTTCTTGCTCCTAGTACTAAGGCCAGTAGGCCGTGGTGGCGTGCTTGTTCCTAGTAGCGATGCCAGGAGCCCCGTTTGTAGCTTCTTGCTCCTAGTACTAAGGCCAGTAGGCCGTGGTGGCGTCCTTGCTCCTGGCAGCGATGCGAGCCCCGTTCGTACTGTAGCTTCTTGCTTTTAGTAGTAAGGCCAGGAGTCAGTCCTGTTTCGTGACCCGCATCACCATCGACTAGAAAAGGTGGGCAGTTGCCATGCCAATAGCTGGTTGGAATTCAAGTTCATATCCGGCAGGAACTGGACTAGCTCCAGTTTTTGTAGGACCTGGTCATCTTCGGAGTGGCCATCTTCTGCCTCCAATTTCGTTGGATGGAGTCAGGGCCCATCAAGATTGGAGAAATCAATATAACTGTAACCAAACTTGCCCGCGGCAAAAGAATACGGAGATATCGAACGCAAGGGCTAGTATATCCGAGAATCTCCTTGGGACTGTCCCCTCAAAGCGGTCATTCCCCAAATCGGTCCATCTTCCAATCGTTCAATCTTGCGGTCGTGGCTGAGAAATATGGTCGAACCAATATGGTCGTGCAAGGATGGTCTCAAGATGTCTCGTTCGCTATGAACATACGAATCCCGGTCCCCGTGGACTGAAGTGAGCCAAAGTACATCCCAAGGACGGTTTTGGACTCTCTATGATGCTGTAGTAACTTATAGTATGATACAAATAGTATGTATGAATATGTCCTTATTATCATGACTATATAGTATGATTATATATATGTTTATTATTATATATAATTGTTGAATTGTTGCTTTCCAAGAAACATCAACCTCATAAGCCATCCTATAGAGGTGGCAAACCTGTTCAGCGTGTTTGCTGTGCAGATTTCTTGAAGCTCAGCGAACAGCCATTGTCAGCGGCCGTCGATAGTCATTCATCGGCTACTGGTCAGCTAACGCATCGGTACGTTGAAATCCAACCGCTCACTCTGATTGAAACTTCATCGCTCGAGGAGTCTCTGTACACTCTCATGGGCCTCCTACCAATATAATGAGGCATGTCCAAATATCCAGGCAATTCGGCGAGCCAAACTCAAATACAAGTTGATTTTGTTCTGTCGAGTCGATCTGTAGGTTTCCACAACACGCCGAACCGCAACTGTCAGTTGATGGTCTGGTTCTCTCCATGTTTTTGCTCTGCGTGATCTCTGAAGCAGCACATACGCACTCCAGGTATCCCTTCTGGTACTCCGGGAACACGAAGCTACACATCGATTCAGATTCTCACGCTTGGACAGTCTGGGAGGAGAAGTTATACATTGAATTGTATTTATATGACGTATGACGCCCGTCTTTTAAACCTTGGATGGAAGTCGCATCAAGACAACTTACATGCTCTTGTTGTCCTGTGAGAGCCTCAACTATAAACCAACTCGACATCATCTTCAAACACCGGTTGCCCGGCCGCATCGAGTTTGTGCGCATGACGGCAAGTGGGGCAGGTCACTGCGTCCGGGCGAGGGTCAAGCGACCACCATTTGATAAGACAGTCTGCGTGAAAGCGATGCTGGCAATGCCTAAGTTGTCTAGTCGAAGCCAGGGAGAAAGCAGGTCTACTAGCCACCATAGCAAGCATACAGTACATTGAATATCAGTGATTGATAGTGATTTGTAAAAAAAAATAGAAAACGAAAAACAAATGCATCACCTGCTTTTGTTCGAGTGAAACATCACCAACCACACTTCTGTGCTTGCATGGTTGATATTTATGATGTTGTCTTCAGAATCCCCAAGAAACACAGACCAGAAGTAGAGGACGTTACTAGCAGCAAAGGGCATCGCTACTAGGAGCAAGGAAGCTACTAGTGGCTCCTGGCCGTACTACTAGGAGCAAGAAGCTACTAGTAACAAAAAGCTAAACAAAGCTCGGCAAATCTCTCGGCTGGAAGATGTGGTCGATGGATGTGTGCCACACACTTTGAGTCCGAACAATGATCCGTTTCATTCCCGGCCGATGCTAAGGGACACCCCAAACCGTCCGAGCCACACCACCACAACCATCCCTGCTCCAAGCGGCAGTTGTTTCACCTCCACGATCTTGCAGGTGCTGCCGCTGCTCTCCTCGCGCAACTCGTCCAAGCAGATCCTTGCAAGGGGGCATCCCCAGAAAAGAGCCCATATGTATCGTAATTATCAACATATGTAGGATCTATCTAATTATCATCTGCTGATCGTTCCTTCTCCGGATCATGCTCTTTGTCAGTGCATGTCAGTGCACTCTGAAGGATGCATACCAGTAGCCGAAACCCCACGAGTTCGGTGCCTTCAGGGGTCCAAAAGACATCTCTGCCGAATAACCCGTACCAGGACCCTCCAACAGGTCACAACCTGCCACTGTGGAATCCAAAAGCCACCAGAAAGGAGACCTGTAGAAGATTCGGGTCCTCGGTACAGGTCAACTTTTAGGATCAAAGACACATGGCTTCGCCCCAACTTGGCACCCCAAAGGCCACACTCCAAACAGAAGCCAGCATCCAAACTGCCAGTGTTCCACTCGGAAGCAGGATTGGAAGCTTGACAATGAGTTATTTAATATATATATATAGCATTATATAGCGTGCTTGCTGTGGCCTCTGCTGCAGTAACAGCAACAGCATTACTAGCATCCCACATTCCCACATCATCTTCGACCTCCAAAAACTGCCTCGCGCGGTCCGCCCCCCCCCTTTCGGCCCTCCCGTTCCCAGCGTTTTCCCGCTTTTCACCGGGGCGGTTTTCACCTCTCCACCGAGCGTCGCGCACAGCTCCTCGGAGTCCAACAAGTCGCCGTCCACGGAGGAGATCATCTCGGAGATCCAACGGCCCAGCACCTCGGCCGCGAGAAGGACGAGGTGCTTCCCGTCACCGTGCCGAAGACGGGAAGCGAAGACGGGTCACACGCGGAGAACGACGACGGTGACGGGATGGATGAAGTGGGTCACGGGCGGGGGCGATGGTGTGGGGTGCAACAAAGGGACGTCGGTGGTGACCGGGATCGCAGGGATCGGAGAAACGGATCGAGTGGATGGAGGGGTCGTGTGAAAAATGGATCCAGGCTGTAGGTGCCCAGTCTCCAGCCTGATGGGAAACACAATGTTTGGTTCTTGGAGGCTCACTGACTCACTTGGTCCACAATGGCGCCAGGAGTTCGGAAGAAAAGCAAGCACTGCCCTCAAATATCATGTATGTGCATGTGATTTAGCTGTTCAACTTGTAAGATAGATGGCATGCGGTCGTACTAAGTGACAAATTGGATGGCATGTAGAAGACAATCTACAAATGCCATCTTTGAGAGGCATCACTTAAAGGCATCTTGGCACATGGCTTCTTTCGGGACGCTAAGTGGTGCAACGTGCCATGGTTCTGGACAACTGCTGGACACGTACCGTACATCAAGCGCACATGGAGCATCTTCTGCCTCAACCACAAGCATCCTGACAATGTGCTTGTCAATTCACTTCACCTCAAATCCTGTACATTCTTTATCCACCAATTCTAGATTGAACCGACAGATCTAATGCACTCTCCCTCACGATATCGCATGACCCATCCTCCAAGCTCCGATCTGCCAATCTGGCCACTCTGGGCTCGGGTGCCCTTGGTGCCCTGCGTGGCGGCTCGCCCTCTTCTCGAGGCATTCGGAGTCGAGTGCCCTCACTCTTATGCTTGCAAATCCTGAAGCTGCACGTTTTCTTGGCTGATGTAGGGTCCAAACAGAGGAAGCAATTATCAAAGTAAAAATATACAGTATATATAATATATAACTGTTGCCAACCCGAAAAGTGCTGGGAATCCAGCTCTTCATTGAAACCAGGTGGGGAACTGATGTATTGATGTATTATGTCTGGACTTTTATCCTCCACTCATGAACCAGTATCGTGGTCTCACTCTCAGGAATTTTGCTCGACTCTCAAATGTTGCTGCCATTTCGCCCAAATGCACGCGGTTGCTGCTGAATAGTTCGAGGGGACTATGTGACTTAGATGCAAAATACAAGCCTTGACTGGAGTAGTGCAGCGACTGGACACTGAGACGGCATTTGGTGATCTCCAAGCAATAAGAAGTATCAAGTTGTGGCAAGCATACATGACCTAAACCCACCTGCTTTGACTTCAACGCACCAAAGAATCGGGGCTGATTTGGATGGAGATCGCTGGTTGGTCCACCCCGACGCGACTCCGCTGGGAATGCGACGGGACCCCCCAAAAAGATCGAGAAGTTTTCTCTGGAAGTGGAAAGTTGGAAGACGATTGTCGATTTGGAGAGTGTGAGTACCAGCTCCCGTAAACGATGAGCAAGCCCTCAGCTTGTAGGCTTGTAGCCGTGATGAACGGCACACAACCCCCAACGCAAGAGGTTCTGAAAAGAGATTGACCTTTCAGGTACGGAAATGTGAGGAAGCAAGGATCCTGAAACCTCCTTCGATGCAACAAAGACACGACTTGGAATCTGTCTCCAGGATGCGGGCACTAATTACTACTGGGCCCCAATAGGTTTGAAGATGGTCCCAGTTCAAACAGTGCTCAATTTTACCAAACCCACAAGCTTTCATATACCATGAATTTTGAATATATGCATTCATTTCCTCGGAAAGTGCTCAAAATCATGGCTCACACAAGTGCTTCCGAGGAAGGTGTTCTTCTTGCTCCATCAACAGCCTACTGAATACTCTCTCCAATGCACCGTTGGCTCGTCCTCTCTTGGGTAGATTCTAGGAAGGATCAAAGCTTTGACTTGGTTGGGGCCGGGTGCTTTTCATTGGATCTGTCACTGCTTTTTGTCGGAGCATCCCGTTTCGAAAAAGGAAGCTCTACCTACCAACCAACAGGGTTTCCCATGTGATGGTTGTGCATTTGGGGGGAGTGCACAGTCCGAAGACCAAAAAACTTGTCTTTTGCAGCAAGTGTATTCTTGAATTTGATCTCTCTCAAAGCGGCATGCTGACATGGCTTTAACTTCGGAAGTGCTCAAATATTGTAACTATAGGATGATTTCCCTTGTTGTACTACGAAGGTAGCTGCCAGGTTTTCAGGCTGGCAGGGCAGTTCGTCCTGCTCCCTGCACATGTGACGTCAAGAAATTTCCATTGCTTGACGATCTCTTCGCCCAGGGTCAAGAAGGCCGTCCAAAAAGTTCCCAGGACAATCCCGACGAGGAAGCTCAGCGCAAAAATCTCCAGAATCAAAGTAGCCATCTGCCGATGTCTAAAGCTGAGCGCGATATCTCACAACGCAGGCACAAATATATATATATATTATATATAAATATATATAAGCGAGTGTTTGTGAGTTTAGAATTTAATGCAAACAACACATCCAATCTCTTTCACCGTCTGGGTCAATGCCAATGTCTGCACCAAACATCTCTAAATAGTGACCAAGTTTCACATGCTTCACTGATCTCATTCTTGCTCTGAAAACAGGGGACACTTGTCCCTGAGCCAATGGCTATGCCGCGGGGAATCCGCAGAGCCATTGAGAGGGGGGCCGGCCACGTCGCTTCGCGAAGAGGAGCTCAATATGTCAATGAACTCTGATCTTCCAGAGTCTTTCTATGAATAAGATCTGCTTGGCATTTCATCATTATTAGGTGATATTTCAAGATATCCTGAAGCTGCGCCTGAAAAAAAGGCGCCAAACAGTCAAACAAAAACTGAACACCAGATTGTGATGTCAATGGCCCAACATCTTGATTGTCTTCTGCGTGGTTTGGATTCGCACCCGCACCACCCTCCAGTTAGGAGTATTGCTGATTGATTTGGGGGCGATTAGGCTATGACGCCTTTGCGATCCTGTAAGACAACAGTTTCAGCTATACAAGCAACACCGGAGAACACCTGTTGCCGTCACAAAAGGGACTTGGACCTTTCTGACCCCTCCAACAGGGTGTTTCTTAAGACAGTGAGGGTCGCCATCCCCGTCCAAGATCTTCCGCAGGCTTTCGGACTGTACTCCCAACACAAGATGTTCGAACCCGACGTGCAAATAAGATGCTAGTAGCTTCCTTGCTCCTGGTAGCGATGCCCTTTGCTCCTAGTAGCTTCTTAAGATGCTTGCACTCAACTTGGCATGTCGAGTTCGAACCCCTGAACTCGGACCCCACTCAGTACTCAGAGGGACGAGTTGGATGGTTTTTTGTCGTTTGCTCCTGCTTGAAGTCATGTCTGCTGGGAACGGCAGGTAGCTCCAGGCCTCGCTTGCCATCGCTTTTTCAATCGTGGTTTTTGGGCGGAGAGTGGAGCAAAGATCCTCCAGCGATTGATTCAGAAGGCCAGTGTCCTATTTACGGAGTGTGCTTGCTTGGTACCGCACTTCCGTACCTGACCGGTTCCAGTTTTGGAACCCAAACAGCATGTCTAAGTCTATTTCCCAGCTGATCTTGGGAAGACATCTTGGAAATGATGAAACTCCAGAACCTCTCACATGCAAATCGATCGCAGCAGCTGCTTGTTGCTGCCCCCTCCACACCTGGGATTTCGGCCACGCCATCGACCATGACCATGACCTGGCGAGATGAACACAAACAAGCGGGGAGGAGTACTGTGAATGCGCTTCGATCTGCTTTACGTGTATGAATTGAACATTTGTAAACATCTAACTGAGGGAATGGAAGAATGAAAAAACATGCGCCAGTCCATAGAATTGTTTGGGGCCCCGTCAGCTAGAAGATTCCCAGTGTGGAGCGGCTGACTCTTTTTGCACGAGTACCCACATGAGTGGACAAACAACTCCCCTGCATCCCCCAAACAAAAGGGCCGGAGAAACCCACAAGCAAAGCTTGAAGTCTGAAGCCTGAGGCCATCCTCAGCACCTGAGTGAGTCAGTAAGGTGAGGTGAGGTGAGGTCAGGTGAGGTGAGGTGAGGTGCGGCGTGCCGCGTGAGAGTGCAGTGAAAGTGAGTGAGGGTGAGGGTGGGCGCATGAGTGCATGAGTGAGAGACTGAGTGGAGTGGAGTGGAGTGGAGTGGCGTGCGGTTGTGTGTTTGTGGTTGCGTGTTTGTGATTGCTTCCCTCTCCAGTGATCCCATATCATGGGACCCATTGGGACCGCGTCATTGGCATGGCAGATCGCGATCTTGTCAGTGGTCAGGAGTCCTATAGGAGCCCTTTGCACCCACTCTTAGTCTAAACTGGATGCAGCACTTCTTGGTAAAAACATGTAAAAAACCTAAAGACAATGGCAAACTGCACTGTAATCAGCCATGCAGGGACAGCATGATTCCAAACCTGCAGACTAAACATTGGAAGGAAGAAGTGGTGTTTGAAGCTCATGCCCGCAGACTTCGAAATCTGAAAGCCGGTAGCCAACAAAGGCGCGCCCGCAAAAGAAGCCGCCAATGTCAATAACCTTCAAAAACACGTGGTCGCCACTTGATGTTCTTTCTCGGGACAGAAGTTTTTGCACGCTCGAGCATCGCGGCAAAACTGCGATGGTCCAACACGCTGGAAGGCACAAGGTCCGTCAAGTCATCTGTTCTGGAAGATGTTCATAAGTTGACGAATAGTTTCGCCCAGGCAAAGGCACGCCAGTATCTAGGGGCAGAGTCTGCTACAACAAATGGTTCCAAGGAAAGGTGATGAGCAGCAAAGGTTGTGGGTGTGCTTTCTTCTGAGGAGACGCGCCGGCATCTAATTGCATCACCAACTGGTCCACCCAAGCTTGCGCGATAGGCTTTGACGCTCCAGCCTCAATGAAGCTCAAAGTGCAAATAAAAATATGGGGAACAGTTGCGCCGCAAGGCGCAAACAGCTCTTCCAGAAAATCCCGCACCAAGGCTGCACTGTATCCAAAAGAGCAGGCACAGAAAGGCATCAACCAGCGATCTATAATTGAGCGGCCGGCCTGGTCAAGCTCTGGGTAGCCCAACCCTTTGGCCGGTGTAATGCTTTGTCCCAGAATGATAGAGAAGCCATTAAAAGGAGTCAACCACCGCAAGAAATCTCTAGACTCGGGTTTTCTCGGGTTTTCTCGGCGCTCAATTATTGTAACGCAGGGTCCATAGCAGCTCGCTGCTTCTGGCGCAATATTGCTTGCAGCTGCGCGCAAGCTTGTAAGGCGCTGAATACTTTGAATACTTGCACCAAATGCAACAAGTCGCTCGCATCAGCCGCAAAATCCACAAGAAGCTGGCTCCGATCATAGTCATCCAAGCTCAAAGTGCATCAATCACATCTACGTTTGGCAAATCCAAGGGGACGCTGGCCTGCAAAACATTTGGCAGCAGCGCGCACAACTCCGCAGCATCCAGTTCTGTGAGAGCCGGTGCAGGATCAACACTCGACTCTGTGCAACTCATCACAACACACCCAGAAAAGAACATTAAGCACGCAAAACACAAGGGCAGAAAAAATGTTGTAAAACCGTTACAATCACCACATCTGCCCAAACATGTCTGCAGCAAAGGTACATTCAAGTGCAACCCCAAAAGTACCTGAACGCAGAGATGCCTAAGTCCCCCTAAAATGGACAGTGGTCCACTCCACTTGTTGTGTGTGAGGATGAGGCAGCGAGGAGGAGGACGAGGAGAAGGACAGCCTAGGAGTCGAGCTAGAATCTAGAATTATACACAACAAACAAATCCCCAAAACAAGTTGTCCAGAAACAGAAGCTACCTGACCTACCAGGGTTAGCTAACAGCTAAACTCAGCTAGCAATTCCTCCGCGAACCCAACCGGCGAAACTGCACTTGACCTCGCCTTCCCCGCGGCCAGCGTCGCGCGTGTCGTGTCAGCTGCAGGGTCCACCGGCGGCACCACGGCCGCCTGGTGGAGGTACTTCTTCCGAAAGCGGATGGCCTAGCCATCAGAAAGGAGAACATCTGCGAAAAAGGCAGCAGGTGCTCGCAGGATGGGCGTCATCGATGAAGAGTGCAAACGAATCCACAAAAGTTCGCTCATTTCCTCTCGCATCCCAAAAACTTCACCCTTGTGACGTGTTTTGAGAGAAAATTACCAATAACGGCATGATGGCTAAGTTTGGAAGGCATCAGCGGATTGCATGTGAAAAGCACCATTGCCCTGTTCATGGTCAAATGCAATGATGCCAAAACATATCAAATTATATCAAATTATATACCTCCGTGGAAGACAAGTTCATCTCCAAACTTCCAAGTCACTTTGGATATTGGACATCGCTTCTGTCTACGCTGGCTCCAACAGGATATAACATACTGGCTACACATGTGTGGCTTCGACACATTTCGTTCGCCTTTGGCTATCGGATCACTTGGGCGCCTCAGGGCTATAGACCTGGACCTTACTTTAGTCATGCTTGCCTACTAAAGTGTTCATCATACTATAGGGGAAAAACATGACAATTGAAAATAGAAAGTCCTTGCTTTTCTGTTTTGGCACTACTATTGTTTCTTCGGGATTTGGTAAATAAATTGCAGTGTCTCTGACAGACCCGCACAGGTCCGGATCGTGGGTCGCCTGCATCAGCTTCTCTCGGATCCGGCCATCCTACAAGACCGCGAAGACGCCAAAAGAAGCACGTTTCAATTGCCAAAAACACGTGCGTTGTTTGTTTTTGGCTGTTTGTTTTGTTTTGCGCGTTTCAATCGCCCAAACAAGCGCCAAAAACAAACCACGGAACTATCAAGTGTTCGCTGCAAACGCTGGACCTCCAGAAATGTCCAACGCATCTCTTTGATGCTCCGTGAGGCTCCATGGATTGAGGGGTACGGGTATAGACGGTATAGATGAGAATGTACTGTAATACAAGTGGTTTCTGAAGTTAGATTACCATTAATCGTCAATTCTCAAATATCGTTGATATGGAACCCATGTAAGATAAATATTTGGGGTTCTATGCCATCTACTCCAAAACCGTGGTTCAAAACAAGTTTCATACTTCACTCCCTCAGGCCCTTCTTTAAAAGGACCGAGGGGCGGCGTCAAATGCGATCGTGACCCTCCCCTGTTGTGTTTCTTCAATCAAGAACAAACCAGTGCGTCCTGCCCACATCAACCGTTGTTTGGAAAGTGAGGAGGTGAGCTGCAGGCCAGATGGTTCGCCCATTGCTGCAATTCTACCCATGTTCTACCCACTCTTAAAGCAAATCATCCAACATACAGGCAAATTGATGGCAAATGGCCTGGATATTTGTCCTGTGATCCCATCTCCCAGTGTATGAAGAGTCATATTTGGAGCTTCCCCTGGAGGCCGGAGGCTTGGCACGTCGACGTGCAAAGGCTGTGTAAGGCTGTGGCAGGCTGAGACCCCCCGAGATCTCGGCCTTGGCTGGGAAGACTGGTCTCTTAGGATCTCGTATTGGAAGGTCCCATGCCAAGATGTTCATTTTGACCGCTGGAAAGGCCACCCCCACCCGCTCTGGCCACCACACCTGCGTGCCATGCCATGAGTGACTTTCAGCTGCGCCACTGGCGGAGCTAGTGGCTCTGGTAGAAGCAACGGCCTGGCAAGAAGCACAAAGGGAATGCCTAAGGATCCATGCATGTGCATGATGTATGTGCAGCACTTTGATATCTTCTTCCGATCACTTATTATACAATTATATAGTTACTTGTCTGCAATACTGTATTGAAACTAACACATAATTACAACTTGGTGGGCCTTTGTAGGGACCACACCAACAAAAATACGACATCAACAAACCATCTGCAAAGCATGAGCAAACCCACAAACCATCTGCTCAGGGTCCATCTGCCCGAGATATGGTGCCACAACCCGTCCTGAATGCATCTGGAGGCATCCACCCGGATGAAAAAACCAGCAGAAGGTGAATGCACTGAGGAGATCTGCGGAGGTCATGTTCACCCTCATGGAGTCGGACCTTTCATCTCTCCCCTTGTGGTTCTCTATTTGGAATTACTTGAGGCACCAGGAAAGACATACTTAATAAATACTACTATATAGAGAATTCATACACATGATGTATTATTAGGACATGTTGAATTGCCTTCGAACTCCCACAGCAAATCCACATCCACTTCCATCCTCTGCCTCCACCCTCCTTTCAGCGCCCTTGCCCAGCACCGACCCCGAGGACGCCGAGGACGAAGCGTTGGGCAGCGGCGCGGCTTCCGCGGGCGCGGGCGCCGCGGTGGCGTAGGAGGCGCCGGTGGAACTGCCACCGCCCATGGGGCCCCGCGGTGCCCGGAAGCGGATCGGAAGCCCGGTTCAAAAAGGGTTGCAGAAGACCAAGAAACAACTCTAAGTGCAATATGTTTTGGACACAATTTTTTTTGACAACATGCTGAACACATTCTGGCCCATCCTATGAGGATTCTTATGGTTGATTGCTTTTTGTAGCAAAGCAACCTTGGTCGGTTTGCAGGTACAGTAGATCTGCTTAGGACATCTTAGAATCTCCCAGAAATTCTGCGCACATATTTGGGCCCCATCCATCCTCTGATAGTCTAAAAGTCTTCAACGGCCGGGCGCAGCGTTGGCAAAGTGCAGGGGAGAGTGTGGTGGGAGGCCTACACTTCAGGAGTGGAAAGAATTAGCACTTGCAAATTGTCTAGACTAGTGTAGACCATGTGAAAGCGGAAGAAATCTTGGTCGGATTGTTCTACTAGAGGCCACTATGTCACTATGCCATACAACCATCATCGCTTCTGTCCAAACCATGTCCGAATGGTAGGATTTCTTTCAATCAAAACTATCACTCCATGCAGTTCCAAGATCCAAAGATGTCCACTTCTGGTGTTTTGGACACATGTTTTAAGCAGTACCGGCCAAGTGCACACAACTTAAAACAACTCATGCTGCATGTCCAAAACCAGAGGCAGGGTCAGCTGTCAGAGGTGAAAATAAGTAGCATCACCGACGTTCAGCTAGGGATAGTTGTTCAGTGAGTTTCATCCTTCCCACCAAAGGCTGAAAGGAAGAGGCCCGTCATATAGGAGTGTCTTGTTCAACCAAGGCATTTCTACCCTGGATAAGTTCAAGGCAAGCTGAGAGCAAAAAACGAAAGAAACATGCAATCGCATGCATGTCTCCTGAGCTCAACAATCGGGAACAGCTTCTAGTTGAACAAGAGTTTAACAACTAGACTCTGGAGACTGGCAAAGTACCTTTGTGCAAAGAACTTATGAACCAACATGAACCAACACATCAGTACTTACATATACTGTGTATATATATATACACACCGTAATTTGTACTCAATATAAATATATATATAAGCAACAACTCCAAGGTTGGTGTTCAATATGCCGAGATTGCTCAGCGGTCCAGACATTGTGTCAAGCATCGCCATCGGGCTCAATGACCCTGAGCGAAACGAGGAATTCCAAAGACACGCTATCATCACTGCATGCAGTTCCAAGATCCAAAGATGACCACTTCTGGTGCTTTGGACACATGTTTTAAGCAGTACCGGCCAAGTGCACACAACTTAA